GGGAGAAGGGAGAGCGGGATATGATAAAACAGACTGAAAGCCATTAATATGTATAGCTCGGGGGGGAGAAGGGAGAAGGGGATATGATAAAACAGACTGAAAGCCATTAATATGTATAGCTCGGGGGGAGAAGGGAGAGGAGGATATGAGAAAACAGACTGAAAGTCATTAATATGTATAGCCCGGAGGGGAGAAGGGAGAGGGGGATATGATAAAACAGACAGAAAGCCATTAATATGTATAGCTCGAGAGGAGAAGGGAGAGGGGGATATGATAACACAGACTGAAAGCCATTAATATGTATAGCTCGGGGGGAGAAGGGAGAGGGTGATATGATAAAACAGACTGAAAGCCATTAATATGTATAGCTCGGGGGGAGAAGGGAGAGGAGGATATGATAAAACAGACTGAAAGTCATTAATATGTATAGCCCGGGGGGGAGAAGGGAGAGGGGGATATGATAAAACAGACAGAAAGCCATTAATATGTATAGCTCGAGAGGAGAAGGGAGAGGGAGATATGATAAAACAGACTGAAAGCCATTAATATGTATAGCTCGAGAGGAGAAGGGAGAGGGGGATATGATAAAACAGACTGAAAGCCATTAATATGTATAGCTCGGGGGGAGAAGGGAGAGGGGGATATGATAAAACAGACTAAAAGCCATTAATATGTATAGCTCAGGGGGAGAGGGGAGAGGGGGATATGATAAAACAGACTGAAAGCCATTAATATGTATAGCTCGGAGGGGGGGAGAAGGGAGAGGGTGATATGATAAAACAGACTGAAAGCCATTAATATGTATAGCTCGGGGGGAGAAGGGAGAGGGTGATATGATAAAACAGACTGAAAGCCATTAATATGTATAGCTCGGGGGGAGAAGGGAGAGGGGGATATGATAAAACAGACTGAAAGCCATTAATATGTATAGCTTGGGGGGAGAAGGGAGAGGAGGATATGATAAAACAAACTGAAAGCCATTAATATGTATAGCTCGGGGGGGAGAAGGGAGAGGGGGATATGATAAAACAGACTGAAAGCCATTAATATGTATAGCTTGGGGGGGAGAAGGGAGAGGGGATATGATAAAACAGACTGAAAGCCATTAATATGTATAGCTCAGGGGGAGAGGGGAGAGGGGGATATGATAAAACAGACTGAAAGCCATTAATATGTATAGCTCGGGGGGAGAAGGGAGAGGGGGATATGATAAAACAGACTGTCACACATGTATAGCCCGGGAGAAGGGAGGGGATATGATAAAACAGACTGAAAGCCATTAATATGTATAGCTCGGGGGGAGAAGGGAGAGGGGGATATGATAAAACAGACTGAAAGCCATTAATATGTATAGCTCGGGGGAGGGGAGAAGGGAGAGCGGGATATGATAAAACAGACTGAAAGCCATTAATATGTATAGCTTGGGGGGGAGAAGGGAGAGCGGGATATGATAAAACAGACTGAAAGCCATTAATATGTATAGCTCGGGGGGAGAAGGGAAAGGGGGCTCTAATAAAACAGACTGAAAGCCATTAATATGTATAGCTCGGGGGGGAGAACGAGATAGACAATCTGTTTTGCTCCCTGTGTCTGAATCTCTTTTTATTTTAGAAGAAATACTTTTTCTCTGGTATAGCAGTCAGGTTGACAAAACTTAATAATGGGTGAAGCCAATCACAATTACCCACTATTCATTAGTAAAATCGATTCTACAGAAGGGTAAATGGCAGACACCATGGACAGAAGAGAATAAAATGGCTGCACTCAGGTATTGAGATCCAGCACAAGATATAAAGATAATAAATACAAGTGGCAAAGGAGGGAGCATAAACAGTAAAGGAACACTACAATGGGAAAAATATATCATTCTTTAACAAGTTGTGTGGTTTATCTCTTTAACATAAAGGGGGCATAAGGAAAAGAAAACCACGTAGGGAAAGTTAAAATCATAAAAGGGCCACTTCAAAAAGTAAAATATCAGGACACAGTTCGTGGGTACCAAATAATGTCTGTTCTCACCCCACTTGTCAAAAGCTGGCTCTTTCCGACGGTTCCACCGAGTCTTTAAAGCGTATTTTAGCATCTTGTCGCTGGCATCAACGCTTACCACCGAATATCCTTCCTCCACTAGCATCTCCGAATCCACCCTTCACACAGCAGAAACAAACCATGAACTCAAATATTAAAATTGCAAAAGAAAAATGTATGTCAGTGACCATGTAATCTAAATGAAGCTCAAAGTACGTTATTAACCAACACGCCATCGATTCGAAAGACACATTAATGTGGGTACATCCCTAGCTTTGAATAGACTGGCACAGTGTTTTGTAGACTGTGTATGACTTTTTTAAGTGATACATTTTGGGAAAAGCAATGGCTATAGTTATTGCAGTATCCGATTATTTTCTGGCACTTCAATAGGCACTGCATCAGAACAAGGGGGTCCTCCTTCACAGGGTGAATCACCATTTAATATCATGTAAATTAAGGGATAATCTAACCACTGTCAAAACCTTGCATGATAGCACCCTGTATTGGCTCTCCATATTGTATATGTACATGCTGGCAGGGAGAATGTGGAGACCTCGGGGTGATGAGTTTGATACACAGTCTGGTTCTCTAAATGGTATACACTGAAAGCAGCCATTGCTATAATGGCTATAATGATCCTATAGAATGAGGGCCTGGAATACAGAACCCAATATAAGTGGGGAGTCAAAGTAGAATATTACCAGGCAATTAGAGTAGTGTATTATTGGACAGATTATTATCATATTGTCATATTATTATTATATCATGTTACCATTTTGTTATATCATATTATTATATCATATTTTTATATTGTCATACCATATTATTTTATTATATAAATGTTATTGTTATTATATCATATATCATATAATATCATTACAGTGGAACCTTGGAACTCGAACGGTCCCTTTCTCAAACAATTCGGAAGTTGAACAAAAATTTTGAGTAAAAATTGTCTCGGTACGCAAACGATCCTTGGTACCCGAACAATTTACGCGGCATTCACCTCTGTGGTAACCTCGTTAGTATGACGCATCACCATTCCATTCTGTTAGGAAACAGCTCTATTCTCTAGGCAAATAGCTCTATTTTGTCAGCAAACTGCTCAATTATGTCAGCAAATTGGTAAATTCAGGAGAAGTGGCATACACAGTGTGGTGAGACATGGTGAAGCTTCTAGTGCCAACAAAGACGGGGCTGAGAAATTTGTTGCTGAATTTAAAGCCTATGTAGAGGCTGAGGAATTCTTTCCTCAACAAGTGTTTAACTGTGATGAGACAGGCCTGTTTTGAAAGACAATGCAAAATGAAAAGAGGACCTACATAACAAAGGAGGAGAAATCATTGCGAGGACAAAAATCAATGAAGGACAGGCTAACCCTGTTGTTCTGTGGGAATGCAAGTGGAGATTTTAAATTGAAGCCTTTGCTAGTCTACCACTCGGAGAACCCAAGGGTATTTAAGAAAAAACATGTCCTAAAAAGCAAATTGCAGGTGATGTGGAGGACTAACAGCAAAGTTTGGGTAACCAGGTAAATGTTTTATTGAGTGGGTTCATGAGTGGTTTGGGCCAAGTGTTAACGTACCAGTCAAGGCTCTGCTTTTTATGGATCAAGCACATGCTCACCCTCCATGATTGGAGGACGAATTGATCAAGTAGTTCAGTTTTATTACTTTTATGTTTTTGCCCCCCCCCCCCCTGCAGGGTTTTTTAGATCAGTGGGAACAGGGGGTAAAAATTAGCAGGGAGTCCCCTCTGGATAGTCAGCTCAGGACGGTTTGGACCCTAGCTCAATTGCCCCCTACTGCGCAGTCCTTGGGATCCCCTGTGTCTGTGGCAGTAGGTAGTAGTGGTCCGTTGCCTTCGGCAACCTCAGGTCCACCTTTACTGCGGCGTCCTGCACAGTAGCTAGTGCTGGTGAAGCTTCCAGGAGCCGGGCGTATCTGATGTGGCTCGGGCCGCTGCTTATATGTGCTGGTCTGGCCCGCTCGGCTTGCACTTGAAACAATAAACTAGGGAGACGATTTGGAAAGGGGATTTCCTAGAGATATTTTCCCTCCTGCCACTGGAGGAAGCTCCTTCCTTGGTTGAGAAGGACGGTAAGGATTCCAAAAAAAGAAAAGGAAAAATACCGCTATTGGAAAATCCCCAACACGTTTGGGAATTGGATCCGGGCGTTTTCTATCCTGGCTAGCGACGGGGAGAACGCTCCCCCAAAAATGCTCTGCGTTGTTCTGCTATCAGGACACTATCTGGAATGCGTGTCGTACCTATGGAGGGCTAAGTTGGTGGAGGTACGACAAGCAATTTCGTCAGTGGCTGGCAGGGCGACCATCTTTGTCCTGGGACCAGATGGACATAGGCCTCTGGCTCTTAATTATGATTCGCCCGGCACCTTAACAATGCGCTATTACATCCTTTCTTGGGGGGGGCAGTGGGGGCCAGGCTTTTGTTGGAAATACAATGACAGTCACTAGTAGTAAATACGATGTGCCCATGGCTTGACTTTTATAAGAATCATCGGGCAGCACCGATCCTGTTGGAGGGTTTTGAGTTGGGTTTTTGGATCCCCTTTTTGGTTCGCCCTCCCTTACTTTCTGTTCGGAACCTGCGATCCATTCGGGAATTTCCTTTCGGGAGAAGCTTAACAAGGAAGTATCCCTTTTGTGTTCCCCCTATGTCCAATCTGCTGGTTTCTCCTCTGGGCATGGTGCTCAAGAAGGAGCAGGGTAAATATTGCCTGATTCATTATTTGTCGTACCCTCCAGGGGGTTCAGTAAATGATGAAAATGATGAAAGTTCTTCCGAAGTTTCCCGGGTTTCTTTGATGCGGAGGTCCGCATGGTCCGGGCTCCAGGCCCTGGGGCCTTGCTGGCGAAAGCAGATGTGAAATCGGCTTTCCGGCTGCTACCGGTGCACCCGGATTGTCATCATCTCCTGGGTTGTACTTTTGACTGTCAGTTTTATGTGGATATGTGCCTCCCTATGGGTTGCTCCCTATCCTGTTTTTATTTTGAGGGCTTTAGCACTTTCCTGGAGTGGGTGGTGCGAAGGGAAGCGTGGGTCAACTAACTTTTGCACTATCTGGATGACTTCCTGTGTGTGGGGCCGGCAGAGTCGCACGTCTCCGCACTGCTGCTGAAGGTTCTTTGGGATGTGTTTCAGCGTTTTGGTGTTCCGTTGGCCCATGACAAGACCGTAGGTCTGGTTACATGCCTTAGTTTCCTGGGCATCGAGATTGATTCTATGGCTGGGGAATGTCGGTTGCCCCTGAATAAGGTTCAAGACCTCAGGAGGTGGTGCTGGCCCTGGGGTGACGTAAGATTCAGCTGTGCTGCCTGCAGTCTCTCCTAGGTAAGCTGAACTTCACCTGACGGATTTTGCCCATGGGACGAATCTTTAACAGGCGGCTGGCCGCGGCGATATCGGGGGTCACCCGCCCTCAGCACTTTATTCGGCCGTTGCGGCATACTCTAGTGGTCTGGGATTCCTTCTTGACCTCCCATAACGGTAGAACGTATTGGCAGCCCCGGAGGACTCTAATGCCAACCTCCACCTGCTTACCAATGCAGCAGGCTCGGGAGGCTTTGGGTCCATTTTGGGCTCTCAATGGTGCACTGCCTCGTGGCCGGTGGGTTGGCAGACGGCAGGGCTCACGCGAAATCTGGCTTTCCTAGAGCTCTTCCCCATTCTGGTGGCATTAAAGGTGTGGGGTCCCCAACTCGCGGACAGCCGGGTAGTTTTCCATTGGGGGTGGGGCAGGCGACCAATCAGTTGACCGCATCCTCTCCCCCGGTGATACGCTTGCTGCAGGCGCTTGGTTCTGCGCTGTTTGGGTCTTAATGTATCTTGTAGGGCTGAGCATATGCTGGGGGTTCGCAATGTAATGGTCGATGCTCTCTCTCGTTCGCAGTGGGATGTATTTTGGGAGGTGGCTCTGCAGGCCGAATTGGACGGTGTCCCATGCCCAGTGGAGATGTGGTCGCTTGGTCTGGCAGACTGATATTTGCTATTTTGGGGTCAAGAAGGAATTTTTTCCTAGTTTGTTGCAAAATTGGAAGTGCTTCAGACTGGGTTTTTTGCCTTCTTTTGAATCAACAGCAAAAACATATGTGAGGAAGGTTGAACTTGATGGACGCAAGTCGCTTTTCAGCTATGTAACTATATAACTATATATGTAACTGATGGTTCGTGGGTCAGTCTCAGCGGCCACATGGGCCCACTAAAGTAAGGTGTGGAGTGAATGGGATGAGTGGGAGCTTCCTTCGGGGGTTTCCCTGATTCGTCTGCTCGCCTACAGGGTTTATTACCTCTCTTAGGGGCTTGGGTGTCTGCTGGGTTATCCCCCTCTGCGATTTCTTCGCGCTTTGCAGGGCTCAGCTTCCTGTTCAAGTTGCAGGGATGGGAAGATGCTACCAAGGTTTTCATGGTTCGCTAGGCCCTAAAGGGCTTGAGGTAGGGTGTGTGCTCTCGGGGCTCAAGGCGTCCTGCCTCAGACGTCCTTGGCTAGTTTGTGAGAGTCGTTACCCAAGGTTTGCCATTCATAGAATGTGAAACATAGAAACATAGAAACATAGAAACATAGAATGTGACGGCAGATAAGAACCATTCGGCCCATCTAGTCTGCCCAATTTTCTAAATACTTTCATTAGTCCCTGGCCTTATCTTATAGTTAGGATAGCCATATGCCTATCCCACGCATGCTTAAACTCCTTTACTGTGTTAACCTCTACCACTTCAGCTGGAAGGCTATTCCATGCATCCACTACCCTCTCAGTAAAGTAATACTTCCTGATATTATTTTAAACCTTTGTCCCTCTAATTTAAGACTATGTCCTCTTGTTGTGGTAGTTTTTCTTCTTTTAAATATAGTCTCCTACTTTACTGTGTTGATTCCCTTTATATATTTTAATGTTTCTATCATATGCCCTGTAACGGATCACCTGGCACCCCGACTGGGTACCTCCGTTGAAGGATGCTCCTAGCGCTTCCTGAGGACTCCAAGCACTCTGGCAGACACCACAATCACCGAACCAGAGAAACAAATAAATTCTCCCAAGCATATGAATGCTGTAGACAGTTGAATAGGAACCATACGAATAGGTTTACTCTCCTAGCAGTCAAACTGGAACAGCATACAATGAATCCTTCCCCCAATAATGAGACGACACTTCACTTTGAGAGTTAAAACAGGAACTCCCTGTACTGTCACATACAGTCTCTTTTATTCCCAATCCACAAACATAGTACAGCCCACAGGGCGTTACAAAACAGCCAATCAATCCATACACTACACCCAGACACTCCCACACAAAATCCTCCCCTCTGGCTGTGATATGATTACTGAACACAATGGGTAAACTAATTATCACAGCCAGAGTGTGGCGAAACCGACCTCGCCAAGTGTCCTTGGAGGGGGCTGCTTGCCCGCCTCTTGCCTTTGGACTATGGCCCTGCAGGTTAAACTGTTTATTTTCCCTGCAGAAAGGCTTATTCGTGTGATCTGAGTGCCATTCATCTAATAATGTGCAGTCAGATCCAAGCTATCTGGGGATATGTAGAAATGTGTGTTTTATGTACTAAATGTGTCAGTATGTAATTTTATATGTCTTTTACTGTCTTTTTGTCTGCCATGTGGGTAATGGAGTTTGGCTCTGTCTTTGGAGATAATTAGATTCCTTCTCCAATTATCTCCAGGGCAGAAGGGAGGAAGCCAGGATGCATTGTGGGGATGTTTTACTTTTACTGTTTGAGCCAGGGGGAACAAAAGATACTTTTACTAACTTTTGAACCCCTGGTCTGATTCATGCCATTTTTTAATATGTTGTTCCCCTGAATGGATTGATTGTGAATATGTATTTTTATGCGAATGTGATGTATATTTTGGGAGTTATGAATGTTGTGTAAAAACTGTATTTTCCCTACCTATGATAATTGTATTTCCCTGTGTGTACAGATAATTAGTTTACAGGTAGAGGGGAGGGCTATGTGTGGGATGTAACTATTGTGTGATTGGTTAATGTACGTTACTGTGTGTCCCTCCCCTTCATGGGAGCACCTAATAAAAAGGGCTGCAAGCTAGCAGCCAGAGAGTTCTATTTTTACCCTCAACTTGAGTCCTGTCTCTTATTGGGGGAATCTGCTACAAGGGATTGCTATGCTAGGCATATTCCCTTGCTATAATCACTGAGCTCTTGTAAGAGCTTGTTCCTGCTTCGTTCTGAAGGGAGATAGCTGCAGCCTGCGGTGCTTATGGTGTCTGGTGGAGTGCTTGGAGTCCTCTGGAAGCGCTAGGAGCATCTTTCAACGGAGGTACCCAGTCGGGGTGCCAGGTGATCCGTTACATTGGTGGCAGCGGTGGGATGGCATCCTAGTGCGAGGAGAAGCAGCTCGGAGACACCGGTAACGTGTGGAGTTGTGCAGCGTCCTTATCTTCAGCAACATAATGGAACCAGCAGTGGCTACAGCAAGCATGGCGTATAGCTACTCCGTACTAGAGTTTGGTACGATGGTAGGGTTGCACCTGAAGTTTTACGGACCCAATCCAGAGGAGAAATACGTGCGGTTCGTGTGGGACATGGTGACCCGGAACCTACAACACAGGGCGTTGAGGGAAGGCCAGTGGGCACGTTGGGAGAAACTCCAGCCACAGGTAGAGTGGGACGAGGAAGAAACCGAGGTGGCCGGTGGAGATGGGACCGAGGTCTCTCTACCGGCCCTACAGGGATGCTGGGCACCCGGCCCAGATCCCCAGCGGCAGTATGTTTTACAGGGAGGGGAGACAGTCGGTCTCACTCCCCAGCGGCAGAATGTGTTATTGGAGGAAGAGACAACCGGTCTCCCTCCCCAACAGCAACCAGAGGTACCCGAGGTAGAGGACCTCATAGACTGGTCCTGGGAGGACCCCTGCAGGCAGGTGGAGATGGGACCGAGATCTCTCCACCGGCCCTACAGGGATGCTGGGCAACCGGCCCAGATCCCCAACTAGAGCTGGAGTTACAGAAAGTGGAGAGCATCGACCTCCCCCCCCCAGCAGCAGCCGGAGTACCAGGGGGAGGTAAGTGATATTTCTCCTCCCAGCCAACTCCTTTGTTCCCTGACCCCCCAGCAGAAGAGCTGGCAACTGGGCAGAGCGCCGCTGGCCTCTGTCCTCCCTTGTTTCCTTCCCCTGAGCCTGACTTTCTACAGGCTGCCCCAGCGGAAGGTGCCGTCCTTCCTCCCCAGCGGCAGTGCGTACCCCAGGGAGCTGATGGTGTCGTCCGTCCTCCCCAGCAGCAGTGTGTAACCCAGGGAGCCGAAGGTGTCGTCCTTCCTCCCCAGCAGCAGTGTGTACCCCAGGGAGCTGAGGGTGCAATCCTTCCTCTCCAGCGACAGTGTGTACCCCAGGGAGCTGAAGGTGTCGTCCTTCCTCCCCAGCGGCAGTGTGTCCTGCAGGGAGCAGAGACCGTCAGTCTCACACCCCAGCAGCAGGACAAAATAATGAAAGGGGAGACAGCTGGTCCGCCTCTCCACCAGCAGAGAGAGTGTCAGGGAGAGGAGCCTGTTAACCCCTCTCCCCAGCGGCAGTTGACAGTCCAGAGAGAGGAGCTTGTTACACCCTCTCTCCAGCGGCAGCCTAACCCACCAAGGGGAGATGTTGAGCCCCGCAACTGTGCAGATGGGACCGTAGTCTCTGCGCTTACAGCCCAAGGGGTAGAGACGGTCGGTCCTGTTCCCCAGCCCCAGAGCTGTGTACCCAGAGGGGAGACGGTCGGTCTCCCCCTCCCACAACCAGGCTCCAATCAGGCTACTTCGGTGGTAGCGCTGGCACCAGGGCAGAGTACCGCTGGTCTCTGCCCACTCAGCAACCCACCAAGGCAGTCTACCAGCTCCCCACACAGCCGTGGTGAGGCACCTGGACATGGACAAGTTGCTACTTTATCCAGGTGGAGTAAACATTTATTGTGGGTGGGCTGTACTGCTGTTTGTGCTTCGTGGGTGGGTTGCTGGACTAACCAGGGCACTGACCGGCAGGAGGTCAGATACCCTGTTAGTCTGGGGGGCAAAGGGGAGAAGTGTGGCAAAACCGACCTCGCCACGTGTCCTTGGAGGGGGCTGCTTGCCCGCCTCTTGCCTTTGGACTATGGCCCTGCAGGTTAAACTGTTTATTTTATTCGTGTGATCTGAGTGCCATTCATCTAATAATGTGCAGTCAGATCCAAGCTATCTGGGGATATGTAGAAATGTGTGTTTTATGTACTAAATGTGTCAGTATGTAATTTTATGTCTTTTACTGTCTTTTTGTCTGCCATGTGGGTAATGGAGTTTGGCTCTGTCTTTGGAGATAATTAGATTCGTTCTCCAATTATCTCCAGGGCAGAAGGGAGGAAGCCAGGATGCATTGTGGGGATGTTTTACTTTTACTGTTTGAGCCAGGGGGAACAAAAGATACTTTTACTAACTTTTGAACCCCTGGTCTGATTCATGCCATTTTTTAATATGTTGTTCCCCTGAATGGATTGATTGTGAATATGTATTTTTATGCGAATGTGATGTATATTTTGGGAGTTATGAATGTTGTGTAAAAACTGTATTTTCCCTACCTATGATAATTGTATTTCCCTGTGTGTACAGATAATTAGTTTACAGGTAGAGGGGAGGGCTATGTGTGGGATGTAACTATTGTGTGATTGGTTAATGTACGTTACTGTGTGTGTCCCTCCCCTTCATGGGAGCACCTAATAAAAAGGGCTGCAAGCTAGCAGCCAGAGAGTTCTATTTTTACCCTCAACTTGAGTCCTGTCTCTTATTGGGGGAATCTGCTACAAGGGATTGCTATGCTAGGCATATTCCCTTGCTATAATCACTGAGCTCTTGTAAGAGCTTGTTCCTGCTTCGTTCTGAAGGGAGATAGCTGCAGCCTGCGGTGCTTATGGTGTCTGGTGGAGTGCTTGGAGTCCTCTGGAAGCGCTAGGAGCATCTTTCAACGGAGGTACCCAGTCGGGGTGCCAGGTGATCCGTTACACAGAGAAATACAGTTTCATAAAACACATCACAGGGACCCCAAAACATGCAATAACCCCATAAAGTATATCCTTGGAACTGGGGGATCTGGGTGAACCACATATCCAAAATTCACCCAGATCCGTTCAGTACTTTGGAAAATACAGTTTAATGCAGATTCTGCAGAACATATACAGGCTAAATAAAAAACAATCACTGTATAATGTGTCCCCTGCTGTATAGTCCAAAACCACCGCACGATGTCTCTGTGCAACAAATACTGGCGAGATGGCACCGTGTTGAAAAGTCTACACAGTGTCTGTGAGTTAAAATGGCCGCCATCCATTGTTCTCACCATGTGCTTCTGATACAGAAAATGGTGGCCACCCAGTAACTCCACAGTATGTCCCCAGATGGTTCTTAAAAGGGCTAGCAGCAGCACAACACAAATCCATTATGCCCAAATCATGTCTTTAAAGGGCAATACATCCCAGGGGCCATAGTCACATGGCAGGAGGCTGGCAATCAGTCTTCTCCAATGCCCAGTGGCGAGGTCGGTTTCGCCACATCCCCCCTGTCTCGTCTTTCCTCCAAGCTATACATGTTAAGATCCTTTGACCTTTTCTGGTAAGTTTTATCCCGCAATCCATGAACCAGTTTAGTAGCCCTTCTCTTTACCCTCTCTAAGGTATCAATATCCTTCTGAAGTTACGGTCTCCAGTATTGTGTACAAAACTCCAAGTGAGGTCTGACCAGTGTTCTGTACAATGGCATGAGCACTTCCCTCTTTATACTGCTAATACCTCTCCCTATACAACCAAGCATTCTGCTAGCATTTCCTGCTGCTCTATTACATTGTCTGCCTACCTTTAAGTCATCAGAAATAATCACCCCTAAATCCCTTTCCTCATATGTCTATCACCCCTAAATCCCTTTCCTCTTTCTGCCTAATCTTATAGATCATTCTGTCTTCCTCACCATGGTTTTTTTTTATAATTACTAAATGCTGTTTGTTTTTTACTATTTTGGCCACATCTGCGGAGTACCACAGTGTTTTTTTGAATTTTTTGCTTTTACTGACAAGCCTAATGCAATTTTCTGTTGCTTTCAGTAGTGCAACTTTTAAATAATCACATTTCTCTTGGACTCCATTTAAATTGCTCCAGTCTGATAATGACTCCTTTACACATATTCTAATTTTAGAAAAGTCTGTTATTCTAAAGTCGAAAACTTTTGTTTTTGTGTGGTGTGACTCAGTCACTGTTCTTATATTAAACCACACTGACTGGTGATCACTGGATCCTAAACTTTCACCTACAGTTATATCTGATACCAAATCTCCATTTGTTAACACTAAATCTAGTATGGCCTCAACAACTTGTTTTAGAGACAATCCCAGTAGGGAGTTTAGAATATGTGTGCTCCTGGCACAAGTAGCTAATTTTGTTTTCCAATTTACATCAGGAAGATTAAAGTCACCCATGATGATAACTTCCCCCTTCATTGTCATTTTAGCTATTTCCTCAACTAGTAGATTATCTAACTCTTCAATTTGTCCTGGGGGCCTATAAATCACACCTACACGAGTTACTGTGTGATTACCAAATTCTAACATAGCCCAAACGGACTCTATGTTTGCCTCACTAACTTTTATTAGGCTAGATTTTATGCTATCCTTCACATACAAGGCCACCCCTCCCCCTTTCTTGCCTTCCCTATCTTTCCTATATAAAGAGTACCCTGGTATTGCTATGTCCCAGTCATTTTTCTCATTGTACCATGTCTCAGTAACAGCGACTAAATCTACACTATCAGTTGCCATTATTGCCACAAGTTCATGGATCTTATTCCCTAAACTGCGAGCATTTGTAGACATGACTCTAAGCCCATCATTTTTTAACACAAGTTTCAGGTCTTAACCCACCTTAGGTTACCTTTTTGGACGTGCCCACCGATCGAAGATAAGGTCGGCTGGTGGTAAGCATTGGAAGGAAAAGAGGAGCCGAGAGGGGAGGTGAGAAGAAGTGGTGCATAGGCTCATGGTCAGTATATTGTCAAGGACGGTTGGGTTATACTGTATGATACTATATATTAACTTATTTGTTAAGTTATGGTTATTTAATGTTTGACGTTTGGTTTATATCAAGTAAAGAAGAATATTAAAATAAATTATAGATGTGTTATATAGTATTTATCATATGTTATAATAAATGCTGTGGCCTGTTTCATCCATAGTACGCTGTCTGACATTATTTGGGTGGTAATTGGGATAGTTCTATGTTAGTATGCTCCATCACGATTCCACACTACGTACATACATGTCATCAAGACAAAACACTAATACTATTCTAGCGATCTACTTTTGTTCCCTACCCTCACAGACCTTGGAGTGTCGCCTGTGTTCATTGTTGATGAGCTTTGACTTCTGCAGATTGCAGTGTGTGTCCCAGGCATATGGTCGGATCACTGAACGGAACCTGAGTGGGGGGTGAATTGTTTCTTGTGGTTATAAATACGTGTCCACCCATTGTACAGCGCTGTGGAATTTGTTGGCGCTTTATAAATAATAATGCTCACCCAGTCTCCATCATTAAAAACCCACTTCTTCATAAAAACGTATCAATTAAACTGTTAATAGCTCCTGACTGATTCCTCTCTTGCAACTGTCACTAGTCTAATACTATCCTTACCTGTTGTGTCACTTTACCCCACTCCCTTTAGCATGTAAGCTCATTGAGCAGGCCCTCAATCCCTCTGTTCCTGTGTGTCCAACTTGTTTGGTTACAACTACATGTCCGTTCGTCCACCCATTGTAAAGCGCTGCAGAATTTGACGGCGCTATGTAAATAATAACATAAATCAATCATATTATCGGACAGGCTGCACTGTGTACAATTTGGTAATCAGAGTGCTGCATTCAAAACATATTATTACATAACATTCTTATATCATATTTTCATATTATTATACAGGATGAACTGTGTTGTATTGGGTAATAAGAGAGTAGCGCTAATGCGAAATCAGCATTTCACATTATATCCTATTATCATATTATTTTATTATATCATATTACTATCATATTAGTATTCCATATTAGCTTACTATTATATCATATCATTTTATTATATCATAATGTTATTATATCATAATTTCATATTATTGGACAAAGTTGTATAGTATTGGGTAATCAGAGTGCTGCAATCAAACATATTATAACATCATCCTATTATTATATCACATAATTAGGATGAGCTGTGCAGTATTGAACAATCAGCATATCATATTATTATTATTATTATTATTAATATTATATCATATTATTATTAATATTATATTATATCATATTACCATATTATAGGACAGGCTAAACTCTGTAATACTGGATAATCAGATGTGATCAAATTTTAACTATATAGAAACAGATATCATTAACAATTAGTTCAGCTACATCAATCAAGAGATGACAGCTTTCAGGACCACATTACCCAAGGGGCCGCACTGCCCAACGAACCACACTGCCAAGAGGGACACATTATCCAAGGAGGCTGCACTGCCCAGCAGACCACACTGCCAAGAGGGACACATCATCCAAGGGGGCCCCACTGCCAAAAGGGACACATTACCCAAGGGGGTCCCACTGCCAAAAGGGACACATTACCCAAGGGGGCCCCACCGCGCTGCAGACTACACTGCCAAGAGGGACACATTAACCAAGAGGTCCTCATGGCCCAGTTGACCACATTGCCTAGAAGGACACATTATCCAAGGGGGTCCCACTGCCCCGCGGACCAAACTGCCAAGAGGGACACATTACCCAAGTGGGCCGCTCCACCCAGCGGACAACATTGACAAGAGGGACAAATTACCCAAGGGGCCCCCACTGCCCAGCAGACCACACTGCCCAGAGGGACACATTATCCAAGAGGGCCTCACTGCCCAGTGCACCACATTGCCTAGAAGGACACATTATCCAAGTGGGCCGTACTGCCCAGCGAACTACACTGCCAAGAGGGACACATTACACAAATGGGCCCCACTGCCCAGTGGACTACATTGCCTAGAAGAACACACTATCCAAGGGGACCCCACTGCCCCATGGACCACACTGCCAAGAGGGACACATCATCCAAGGAGGCCCCACTGCCAAAAGGGACACATTACCCAAGGGGGCCCCACTGCCAAGAGGGACACATTAACCAAGGGGCCCCACAGCCCCGCAGACTACACTGCCAAGAGGGAAACATTACCCAAGTGGGACACATTATCCAAGTGGGCCCCACTGCCCAGTGGACCACATTGCTAGAAGGACACATAATCCAAGGGGGCCCCACTGCCCCACAGACCACACAGCCAAAAGGGACAAATCCAAGGGGACCCCACTGCCCCATGGACCACACTGCCAAGAGGGACACATCATCCAAGGAGGCACCACTGCCAAAAGGGACACTTTACCCAAGGGGGCCCCACTGCCAAGAGGGACACATTAACCAAGGGGCCCCACAGCCCTGCAGACTACACTGCCAAGAGGGAAACATTACCCTAGTGGGACACATAATCCAAGGGGGCCCCACTGCCCCACAGACCACACAGCCAAAAGGGACAAATTACCCAAGGGTACCCCACTGCCCAGTGGACCACATTGCCTAGAAGGACACATTATCCAAGGGGGCCCCACTGCCCCACAGACCACACAGCCAAAAGGTACAAATTACCCAAGGGGGCCCCACTGCCCAGTGGCCCACATTGCCTAGAATTACACACTATCCAAGGGGACCCCACTGCCCCATGGACCACACTGCCCAAGGGGGCCCCACTGCCCAGCAGACCACATTGCCAAGAGGGACGCATTACCCAAGGGGAACTCACTGTCCGGTGTACCACACTGCCAAAAGGACACATTACCCAAGGGGGCCCCACAGACTACACTGTCAAGAGGGACACATTACGCAAGAGGGTCTCACTGCCCAGCGGACCACATTGCCAAGAGGGACACATTACCCAAGGGGGCCCCACTGCCCAGTGGACCACATTGCCAAAAGGGACACATTACCCAAGTGGGCCTCACTGCCCAGTGGACCACATTGCCTAGAAGGACACATTATCCAAGGGGGCCCCACTGCCCCGCAGACCACACTGCCAAGAGGGATACATTACCCAAGTGGGACGCTCCGCCCAGCGGACAACATTGACAAGAGGGACAAATTACCCAAGGGGGCCCCACTGCCTAGAAGATCACACTGCCAAGAAGGACACATTACCCAAGAGGGCCTCACTGCCCAGTGGACCACATTGCCTAGAAGGATACATTATCCAAGTGGGCCGCACTGCCCAGCGAACTACACTGCCAAGAGGGACACATTACCCAAATGGGCCCCACTGCCCAGTGTACTACATTGCCTAGAATTACACACTATCCAAGGGGACCCCACTGCCCCATGGACCACACTGCCCAAGGGGGCCCCACTGCCCAGCAGACCACATTGCCAAGAGGGACGCATTACCCAAGGGGGACTCACTGTCCAGTGTACCACACTGCCAAAAGGGACACATTACCAAAGGGGGCCCCACAGACTACACTGTCAAGAGGGACACATTACCCAAGTGTGCCTCACTGCCCAGTGGACCAAATTGCCAAGAGGGACACATTACCCAAGGGGGTCTCACTGCCCAGCGGACAACATTGCCAAGAGGGACACATTACCCAAGGGGGCCTCACTGCCCAGCGGACAACATTGACAAGCGGGACACATTACTCAAGGGGGCCTCACTGCCCAGTGGACCACACTGCCAAGAAGGACACATTACCCAAAGGAGTCTCACTGCCCAGCGGACCACATTGCCAAGACGGACAAATTACCTAGGGGGGCCCCACAGACCACACTGCCAAGAGGGACACATTACCCAAGGGAGCCCCACTGCCCCGTGGACCACATTGCCAAGAGGGACACATTACCCAAGGAGGCCCCACTTCCCAGCGGACCACACTGCCAAGAGGGCCACATTACCCAAGGTGACCTCACTGCCTGGCGGACCACACTGCCAAGAAGGACACATTACCCAGGGGAGTCTCACTGTCCAGCTGACCACTTTGCCAAAAGGAACACATTATCCCAGGGAGCCCCGCAGACCACACTGCCCAGAGGAACACATTACTCAAGGTGGCCCCACTGCCCCGTGGACCACATTGCCAAGAGGGACACATTACCCAAGGGGGCCCCACTGCCCTGCGGACCACATTGCCAAGAGGGACACATTACCCAAGGGGGCCTCACTATCCATGGGGAAACCTTACTTAGAGGGCTATGCTGCCATGAGAGCCATGCTGCTTAGACAGCCTGCTGATTTCTAATAAAATGTTACAATTTGTCCTTGTGTGATGGGGCAGTCCTGATACAGCTCTGTGTTAGGGGTATTTTCAGACAGTACTAATGCTCACCCCGTGCCACATGCCACGTCCAGCACTGTCTGACAATTGTGTCTTTGCAGCAGTGACTGGATCCAACAGCGATACTCATCTGTTCGGCTGCGTTTGTCCCCAATATAGTAATGCCAGACTCGGGCAGCTTTGCCATCTGCATACTGATCCGGGAGACCCTCTGCTGCCACTCCCAGGGAGCGGGTACGGTACACACTGTCCACCATCTTACACCGACACTACACAGAGCACAACTGCACTGGGAATTGTGACTTGTACACAAACAGATACACAATGTGAGAGAAGCAAACAAACACTACAATACAGATAAAGTGTCCAGCGCAAATACAGAAACACTACTCACAGCCTCCGATTATATGTACTCACAACCTCCGATAACACAACTACCCACAGCCTCCGATAACACCAAACACTGCAACACAACTTCTCACAATCTGCGATAACACTAAATAACGTCTCACAATCTGTGCAATGCTAAATAACTTCTCACAATCTGTGATAAAACTAAATAACTTCTCACAATCTGCGATAACGCTAAATAACTTCCCACAATCTGTGCAATGCTGAATAACTTCTCACAATCTGCGATAACGCTAAATAACTTCTCACAATCTGCGATAACACTAAATAACGTCTCACAATCTGTGCAATGCTAAATAACTTCTCACAATCTGCGATAAAACTAAATAACTTCTCACAATCTGCGCAATAACTATATAGCTAAATAACTTCTGACAATCTGCGATAAAACAAAATAACGTCTCACAATCTGCGCAATAACTATATAGCTAAATAACTTCTCACTATCTGCGATAAAACGAAATAACTTCTCACAATCTGCGATAAAACAAAATAACTTCTCACAATCTGCGCAATAACTATATAGCTAAATAACGTCTCACAATCTGCGATAACGCTAAATAACTTCTCACAATCTGCGCAATGCTAAATAACGTCTCACAATCTGTGCAATGCTAAATAACGTCTCACAATCTGCGATAAAACAAAATAACTTCTCACAATCTGCGATAAAACTAAATAACTTCTCACAATCTGCGCAATAACTATATAGCTAAATAACTTCTCACAATCTGCGCAATAACTATATAGCTAAATAACTTCTCACAATCTGCGATAAAACGAAATAACTTCTCACAATCTGCGATAAAACTAAATAACGTCTCACAATCTGCGCAATAACTATATAGCTAAATAACTTCTCACAATCTGCGATAAAACAAAATAACTTCTCACAATCTGCGATAAAACTAAATAACTTCTCACAATCTGCGCAATAACTATATAGCTAAATAACTTCTCACAATCTGCGCAATAACTATATAGCTAAATAACTTCTCACAATCTGCGATAAAACGAAATAACTTCTCACAATCTGCGATAAAACTAAATAACTTCTCACAATCTGCGCAATAACTATATAGCTAAATAACTTCTCACAATCTGCGATAAAACGAAATAACTTCTCACAATCTGCGATAAAACTAAATAACGTCTCACAATCTGCGCAATAACTATATAGCTAAATAACGTCTCACAATCTGCGATAAAACGAAATAACGTCTCACAATCTGCGATAAAACGAAATAACGTCTCACAATCTGCGATAACGCTAAATAACGTCTCACAATCTGCGATAAAACTAAATAACTTCTCACAATCTGCGATAACGCTAAATAACGTCTCACAATCTGCGCAATAACTATATAGCTAAATAACGTCTCACAATCTGCGATAAAACTAAATAACTTCTCACAATCTGCGATAACGCTAAATAACGTCTCACAATCTGTGCAATGCTGAATAACTTCTCAAAGCCACAAAAACACAAAAAATGACTTTAGGTTCCGATAATATGAAACAAAACAAAGAGAAGAATAACTCAAAGTAAACGCGCTGAACTTGTTGCAGTCCGTACTAAGCTCTGATTCCCAGTGATGAGTGCACTGTCAGCAATGACGAGACTTTATACACACAACACACTCAGGAACTGGCCAATCACAGCCCAGTGACCATTAACACCCAGCACAAACAGGGCCGCACACTGACCAATAACATCCCTGCCAGTAAAACACACTGACCAATCACAACAAGAGCAGCTGCAAAGTTTCACATTGTGTACTCAGTGACACACCTCTCAGGAGACCAATCAGATGGGTAACTGTAATGATTTAAAGGGAAAGTACAGAATCTAGGAACTGAATCAGCAAGTATGATGTAAAGCGAGGACAGGAGTCAGATTACTGGATGTCAATAACTGGAAGTGAACCCGGGAATGCTGGATACTGTTACAGCCAGAATAACAATAACAATATATTTAATGCAACATTCACATAAATCACACATTTATACATAGTGATAATACAGCACCATTATACCACATCCAGGCTGTGTAATAATACATTATTTATATAGCGCTAACAGCCGTGTATAGATTATTTATATAGCGCTAACAGCCATGTATAGATTATTTATACAGCGCTAACAGCCATTGTATAGATTATTTATATAGCGCTAACAGCCATGTATAGATTATTTATATAGCGCTAACAGCCGTGTATAGATTATTTATACAGCGCTAACAGCCATGTATAGATTATTTATATAGCGCTAACAGCCGTGTATAGATTATTTATACAGCGCTAACAGCCGTGTATAGATTATTTATACAGCGCTAACAGCCGTGTATAGATTATTTATATAGCGCTAACAGCCGTGTATAGATTATTTATACAGCGCTAACAGCCGTGTATAGATTATTTATACAGCGCTAACAGCCATGTATAGATTATTTATACAGCGCTAACAGCCATGTATAGATTATTTATTTATACAGCGCTAATAGCCATGTATAGATTATTTATACAGCGCTAACAGCCATGTATATATTATTTATACAGCGCTAACAGCCATGTATATATTATTTATACAGCGCTAACAGCCATGTATAGATTATTTATACAGCGCTAACAGCCGTGTATATATTATTTATACAGCGCTAACAGCCATGTATAGATTATTTATACAGCGCTAACAGCCATGTATATATTATTTATACAGCGCTAACAGCCATGTATAGATTATTTATACAGCGCTAACAGCCGTGTATAGATTATTTATACAGCGCTAACAGCCATGTATATATTATTTATACAGCGCTAACAGCCATGTATATATTATTTATACAGCGCTAACAGCC